ATGTTCAGGAGGAGGGTGTGATGTTGCACCCCATAATGCTTTCTAGAAATATGCTTATGAGTGTAAATATGGCATAAGTAGAATGTGGTTTATGCTAGATGTGCCATGTAACATATCTCTGCAAAGGTTATGATCTACTGGATATATTCATCCTATTTCCATGCATGTAACAGTTTGTATTCGAATTTGTGAATACTGGTTATGTACTTGTTTGATTTTAAGTAGCCTCAGTGAAGCAGTTGGTCAGCCTCTTGAGAAAAGACTATTCTCAGTAAGTGCCCAATCGAGAAACACTTAAGCTAACAATGTGAGCTTTCCTGGGAATGTGGCGTCATCCTGTAAGGAACTGAGTCATGCATGGAAATGTGATTTGCCCATGTGACTCCAAAACTCCATCTTGCAGCTGGATTCTGCATGGGAGAGTGGAAAGGGTTTCCACCCCCAAGAGAGAGACTATCTAAGCCCCTGGGGAAACCTCTCCATTTTGTCTTCAGCTGGATCAAGAGAGGGTGAGATTTACCTCCATTTAGTTTTTACTGTATTAGGCTTAGACTTGCATCTTTTATTTTATTTTGCTTGGTAATTTACTTTGTTCTGTGTGTTATTAGGTGGAACCACTTAAATCCTACTTTCTGTATTTAATAAAATCACTTTTTACTTATTAATTAACCCAGAGTATGTATTAATACCTGGGCGGGGGGCATACAGCTGTGCATATCTCTCTATCAGTGTTATAGAGGGTGAACAAATTATGTTTACCCTGTATAAGCTTTATACAGAGTTAAGTGCATTTATGTGGGGTTTGGACCCCATTGGGAACTAGGCATCTGAGTGTTAGAGACAGGAGCACTTAAACTGAGCCGTGGGCAGGGCAAGGGACACACCTTTCTACACTTGACATTCAGCTCCACTATACCCCTCCACCACATGCACACAACTAGTGCCTGATGCACACCAAACACACACACACAGACAGAGTGCCCACTACACACAGACAACCTGACACTGAGCTTGATCAGATTGCAGAATAATGTCTACTGGGAAGCTGGCACAGCTGGAATATTTCCAACTAGCCTGAACAAAAAGAACCAAAGGGGTTTCTACTGCCCTGGCAGGGAGATAGAACTAGATTTCCCAACTGGCCTTTTTGATCGGCAGCTTCTCTGAGGCCTGGTTTATGCTTAAAAATTAGATCAACAGAGCTCCGTCACACAGGGCGGGGAAACTTTTCACACCCTGTGCAAGGCTGTTAGCTTGTACTGACCCTCAGTGTAATTCTTTCATTGACAGAGCTACTGCTTCTCAGAGATGTAGATTAACTATATTGAAGGAAAACCCTTCCATGAACGTGGAAAGCATCTACACTCTGGCTCTGCTGCACACCATCTCTAAGTCAAGTAATGGCTTTAATATAGGTTTCAGAGGAACAGCCGTGTTAGTCTGTATTCGCAAAAAGAAAAGGAGTACTTGTGGCACCTTAGAGACTAACCAATTTATTTGAGCATGAGCTTTCGTGAGCTACAGCTCACTTCATCAGATGTTTACCGTGGAAACTGCAGCAGACTTTATATACACACAGAGAATATGAAACAATACCTCCTCCCACCCCACTGTCCTGCTGGTAATAGCTTATCTAAAGTGATCAACAGGTGGGCCATTTCCAGCACAAATCCAGGTTTTCTCACCCTCCACCCCCCACACAAATTCACTCTCCTGCTGGTGCTAGCCCATCCAAAGTGACAACTCTTTACATAATCAAGTCGGGCTATTTCCTGCATAGATCAAGGTTTTCTCACATCCCCCCCACCCCCATACACACACAAACTCACTCTCCTGCTGGTAATAGCTCATCTAAACTGACCACTCTCCAAGTTTAAATCCAAGTTAAACCAGAACATCTGGGGGGGGGGGGGGTAGGAAAAAACAAGAAGAAACAGGCTACCTTGCATAATGACTTAGCCACTCCCAGTCTCTATTTAAGCCTAAATTAATAGTATCCAATCTGCAAATGAATTCCAATTCAGCAGTTTCTCGCTGGAGTCTGGATTTGAAGTTTTTTTGTTTTAAGATAGCGACCTTCATGTCTGTGATTGCGTGACCAGAGAGATTGAAGTGTTCTCCGACTGGTTTATGAATGTTATGATTCTTGACATCTGATTTGTGTCCATTTATTCTTTTACGTAGAGACTGTCCAGTTTGACCAATGTACATGGCAGAGGGGCATTGCTGGCACATGATGGCATATATCACATTGGTGGATGTGCAGGTGAACGAGCCTCTGATAGTGTGGCTGATGTTATTAGGCCCTGTGATGGTGTCCCCTGAATAGATATGTGGGCACAATTGGCAACGGGCTTTGTTGCAAGGATAAGTTCCTGGGTTAGTGGTTCTGTTGTGTGGTATGTGGTTGTTGGTGAGTATTTGCTTCAGGTTGCGGGGCTGTCTGTAGGCAAGGACTGGCCTGTCTCCCAAGACTTGTGAGAGTCTTGGGAGAGTCTCACAAGTCTTGGGAGACAGGCCAGTCCTTGCCTACAGACAGCCCCGCAACCTGAAGCAAATACTCACCAACAACCACATACCACACAACAGAACCACTAACCCAGGAACTTATCCTTGCAACAAAGCCCGTTGCCAATTGTGCCCACATATCTATTCAGGGGACACCATCACAGGGCCTAATAACATCAGCTACACTATCAGAGGCTCGTTCACCTGCACATCCACCAATGTGATATATGCCATCATGTGCCAGCAATGCCCCTCTGCCATGTACATTGGTCAAACTGGACAGTCTCTACGTAAAAGAATAAATGGACACAAATCAGATGTCAAGAATCATAACATTCATAAACCAGTCGGAGAACACTTCAATCTCTCTGGTCACGCAATCACAGACATGAAGGTCGCTATCTTAAAACAAAAAAACTTCAAATCCAGACTCCAGCGAGAAACTGCTGAATTGGAATTCATTTGCAGATTGGATACTATTAATTTAGGCTTAAATAGAGACTGGGAGTGGCTAAGTCATTATGCAAGGTAGCCTGTTTCTTCTTGTTTTTTCCTACCCCCCCCCCCCAGATGTTCTGGTTTAACTTGGATTTAAACTTGGAGAGTGGTCAGTTTAGATGAGCTATTACCAGCAGGAGAGTGAGTTTGTGTGTGTATGGGGGTGGGGGGGGATGTGAGAAAACCTTGATCTATGCAGGAAATAGCCCGACTTGATTATGTAAAGAGTTGTCACTTTGGATGGGCTAGCACCAGCAGGAGAGTGAATTTGTGTGGGGGGTGGAGGGTGAGAAAACCTGGATTTGTGCTGGAAATGGCCCACCTGTTGATCACTTTAGATAAGCTATTACCAGCAGGACAGTGGGGTGGGAGGAGGTATTGTTTCATATTCTCTGTGTGTATATAAAGTCTGCTGCAGTTTCCACGGTAAACATCTGATGAAGTGAGCTGTAGCTCACGAAAGCTCATGCTCAAATAAATTGGTTAGGCTTTAATATAGACATTCTCTGAATCGATGAGGGTATTTCCCCCTTTCTATCAAAGCTATTTTTCTCTCCTCTTCCAGTTACTCTTCTCCCTCCCTTGGTAAAGCTCTTTCCTTCTTTTGATAGGTAAAATATGTTCAGAAACGTTGAAATTTCTCCTCTAAGGATAATTCTTTACTACCCCTCCCATGAATGGCTCACTGTCATTTCAATTAAAGGCTGAAATGCTCTGAAACTGACCTGTTTGTCTCTCACTTAGTGGGGGTTGTCACCTGTGAGGTGGGAGATTAAGGTTCAATTCCCTCTTCTGTCCAGTGCTGGGCAAAGCCATGTGTAACATTGAAGTCCATATGCTTTATGAAAATATGCTTCTGAATAAAACATAACTGGAATATGCTTTATGCTACATGCCCTATGTAACAAGTTATTATACAGATTATAATCTACTAAGTGTGTTCATCATATTTCTTTACATGGATTATTTGTATGTCCAGAGTTAGGAGAATAAGGTATAAACTTGTATTACTGATGAAGACATTTTAAGTGGAGGCCATTAAAGGTGCTTCAAAATCAATGAACTGTAAATGGCTCTGTTTAACTGCAAGACTTCCTGTGTACCTGTGGGACAACCCAAGAAGAATGGAGATTGGGGTTTTACAGTGAAGGTGACCATGTCCCCTGATAGTGAAATCCATCTTGAAGCTGGTACTTTTCCAGATGGAGTGGAATTATAAAAAAGATTTCCTGCCTTATGGAATTTGCGAAGGGAAGCAAACAATGAGTGTCTTCAGCTATCTTAAGTCATGGCCTCCCCACCCCAAGGAGATACATGCAAGGACCTGGAAACAAAAGAACTGTAACCACAGGAGTGGGTGAGAACAGGCTGGACCCAGGTCAGAAAAGGCATGTGACCTGAGAAGGATTTTACTGTAACACCTGGGATAAGAAGTTAACATTTGTAATGGATTTCTGAGTGTATTAAACTTCACCTTGCATGTTTTGTTTTATTTTGCTTTGTCACTTATTTTGTTATCTCTGTTATTTCTTAAAGCCCCTTAAATCCTACTTTTTATAATTAATAAATCACTTTTGTTTATTTATAAATTCAGTGCAAATAATTGTTACCGGGGGGGGGGAGCAAACAGATGTACATATCTCTCTTGCAGTTATATAGAGGGTGAACATTTATCATTTTACCCTGTGTAAAGTTTATACAGAGTAAAATGGATTTATTTGGGGATTAGAGCCCATTGGGAGCTTGATGTCTGCATGCTGGACACATACATCCTTCTGAGGTGGTTTCATTCTAGTTCTGCCCTATGAGTCTTCCTCTGTTTTGTCCACTGATTTCAGTTGAGGTCTGCAGACCTTCTTGGAATATAAACAAATGAGTAACAATAACAGTACAATAATGAACAATACTACCCTGGGCTCTGGAAAATTAAATTACAATTGGCTGAGAATTGAATTCACCAAGCTTCCACTCCCCATCACTGAAGAGGTACAGAGTTAAACAGATTCAAGAATGGTTAGGAGTTTATTCATTGCTCTCCTCAGGGCGTCCTTCACCTCCGTGTTCCTCAGGCTGTAGATGAGTGGGTTCAACATGGGGATCACCAGCGTGTAAAACACTGAGGCCACTCTGTCTCTGTCCATGGGATAGCTGGAGGGGGGACGTAAATACATGAAGACTTGAGTGCCATAAAACAGGACCACAGCAGTCAAGTGGAACGAGCAGGTGGAGAAGGTTTTGCGCCGGCTCTTGGAAGAACTGATCTGAAGGATGGTGGAGATGATATAGAAATAGGAGAGGAGGACAGTCACAAAGCTACTCACTACAATGCAGCTCATGAAAGCAAATGTCATAATCTCATTGATGCGGGTGTCAGAACAGGAGAGTGCGAGCAGCGGGGGGATGTCACAGAAGAAATGATTGATGATGTTAGAACTGCAGAATGACTGCCGAAATGTAAAACATGTGTGTATCATTGAATCCACCACCCCCACAGCGTACACCCCAGCCACCAGCTCTTTACAAAGCTGCCTGGACATAGTGACCGTATAGAGCAGCGGGTTACAGATGGCCACATAACGGTCATACGCCATCACAGCCAGCAAAAGGCACTGAACATCTGCAAAAATGATACAGAGAAACAGTTGCACAGCACAGGCAGTGAAAGAAATGCTTTTCCTCTCGGTTAAGAAATTCAGCAACATCTTAGGGGAAATTATCAAGGAAAAGCAGAGGTCACAGAAAGACAAATTACTAAGGAACAAGTACATGGGGGTGTGGAGTCGGGGATCCATTGTGATTAACAAAATCATCCCCCCGTTCCCCAGCAGGGTGATGCCATAAATCAGTAGGAACACCCCAAACAAGGGGACCTGCAGGTCCGGACGATCTGTCAATCCTGAGAGAATGAACTCAGTCACCTCTGAGTGATTTCCCTTTTCCATCTCCTCTGAACAGAGATCAGGCAGCTACAGAGATGAGGGCAGGTGTATGGTGCGGAAAACCTGCTCCCTTTCTGTAATTAAAGAAGTGAAGATAAATGGAGATCAGTTTCTTAATGGACTTAAGTACCTGCTCCAGGATGGGCTTAGTCCACAGAGCCAGATGTTCACAGCTTGTAATTCCAGGTGTTCTATAAAATGCAGACACTGTCCAAATACAATGACACACAGGTTAATCATGCCCCCCACACAAACACTCCTGTTCACTAATCTGAACAGAAAACAGTGACTTGTGATTCTGCTGTGAGAGAATCAGTCTGAAGAGATCCAGAGAAGCAGCCATGTTAGTGTGTATCTGCAAAAAGAAAAGGAGTACTTGTGGCACCGTAGAGACTAACACATTTATTTGAACAGAAGTTTTCGTGAGCTACAGTGAAGTGATGAAGTGAGCTGTAGCTTACAAAAGGTTATGCTCAAATAAATGTGTTAGTCTCTAAGGTAGTACAAGTCCTCCTTTTCTTTTACTCTGAAGGGATTGGTCCTTAGCTAAAGAAGGTGAGAGAGTAAAGGACTGTCAGTCTTTCCACCCTCTTTGGGCAAGGGGAGATCTCTTGCCTGGCAAGTCCGTTTGCAGTAAAGTTGCTCGCTGTGCTAATTAACCTTTTGGGCATTTACTTGAGCCTGTATGAAACCCAGAGACAGAATGGGAAGCCCTGTCTTCAGTGACTAGGTAATTGCCTATTTTTTCAACCAAGGAGGTCGCTCCTTTAGCTGAAGGGGTCGAAGTTGGGGCTGAGGGTTTTAGTGCTGGAGGTTTTGAATTTAATACCTGCTGATCCCCGTGGTGTCTGTGTGTGTGTGTGACTGTAATTCAGGACAATAGCACCTACCTGCTGAGGAGAGAGAGAGAGAGAGAGATGTGGTGGCATTTCCCCATTGACAGAAACTGCCAGTTTGGAGCATTCGGGAAGTTTTATACTCAGATGTGTGATCTGTGGGACATGATTCCTGAAGCAACTGGGAATACCTGAGCTCAGAGAACCATAACACCTAATTAAAGCGTTCAGTGAACCAAAGACACATTCTGTGTAATTCATGCTTTGGGGATTAATTTGTCCCACTCTTTCTTACTATGCTATTAAATGATGCAATTACTACCAGAGTTACAGAGTATGAGGTTAGGGGTACATTTCATTCTGCTGTTTTCAGTGCATACCGGGTACCTCATAGAGCTGATACTCAAAGGGGGCTTGTTTGTGGAGACCTAAATCTTTTTGCTAAAAATATTTTGGCTTGGAAATACCACGGGGGTGCATCCAGTACCACACACCACCAATATGTGACATGGGCCAGGCTCCCAGGCTGCTCTACATCCCTCATGGTGCATGATGGTCTCTCCTCTTGCTGAACTTTCCTGGAACATCACCAGAGGCCCACAACAATCGTTTAGGGAGGAGGGGAGTTTGGAATGTTGATGGAAATCTTATAATTTCCAGGGAAAAGATAATTTCATGGAAAAAAGAGTTGACTGGAAAATCCAATTTTCCATCAAAAACACTTGTGAAGAAAATTTTTCAGCCAGCCTTAGCAACAAATTCGGAATCAGAGGAACAGAAAGTTAGATACAGGTGACACGTACTTATTGTTGGCAGCTGTAGCTAATGTCTTCTCAGTCATTCATGGTTTCAGAATCACCTCATTGTCCTCGTCCCAATAAGTGGAATGTAAAACCTGTAAGTCATGTAAAAGTACTCCAGATTATCTAGCTATTTATAGAGTGAGAATCATCCAAGGTATCCTGTGTCCTTCCCTTGCTAGGTTACTTCCCAAAAGTAGGAAAGATCGATTCACTCATTTTGCTTGATGGAGACCACATGATGACCAGAGGAGCTCTGGAATTACGGACATGTTTTGGACTTCTGCAGTTCACAAACTATCCCTATTGCTTGCATATTATCTGCACAAAGAGCTCAGATTTAAGATGCTAAATAAATCTATGAGTCAAGTAGAAATAGTCATGCTCTCATCGCAAATATTAATACATTTTTGATAATGTATGAGAAGTTATAAGATTACACTTATCATGTTATTAATACATGTTCCAAATGGAGGCTGGCAAACTGGTCTGTCTTAAACAAAGAAATGTGTGTGTTGGTTCATTTTGTAGCTAAACAGTAACCAGAGTCATCAAGCAGGAAGGGAAACAAAGGAAGCCCAAAAAGGTGAGGAAAAAGCAGCAGGGAACATCCTTCTACATAGACATTTTTTCTTTTGATAACCAGGTGGAAATGTTTCTCAAAGTGCGGAAAGGACTATAAAAAGTAGGGGCAGAAAACCCAAGCCATTGCTCTCTCTCTCTCTCTCTCTCTCTCTGCCTGCCCATTGATGCATCTGATGGGATAAAGGAAGCATCCCTGGGACTGGGGGAGGGGTCCTGACCTAAGAAGTTTGGTCAGTAAGACTGCTGAAAGCATGTTTTAAGGAAACTTTTGCTTTGAGTTTCACATCATTTGTTAACTTAGGCACAAGTTGCATTCTAGCTTTATTTTTCTTGTAACCATCTCTGATTTCTATTTAAATACACTGGATTAGATAAAACAATAAAAGAATGTTTATTGACTACAAAGATAGATTTTAAGTGAGTACGGATTAGGAGGCATAGAAGTGTCTGAGAAACTAAGTTGCAGGCATATTAGTGCTATTAAAGAAATAATGCATAATGTAGCTGGTATTGTCCAGGAGAGGACTGGGCAGCACAGGACATACATTTCTGGAGATAAATCAAAGACTGGGGAGTGTGTTGGGGTCACCCTGCAGTATAACCAAGGGTGCTGAGAGCCTGAGTGTAAGCCAACTATTCCTGGTCAGGCTGCAGTTACACACACATGCTCAGGGTGTTATTTTCATTCTGGACAGTTATTTTTGAGTGGCCCAGGTGGAAGCCACTTCATTAAGGCATTCCAAGGTTGCGGGCAGATGTGACACAGCTGCTGATTAGTCTGGGTTGGACCCTGGTATGTCACAGCCACCAACCTAGAAAATATCCCAGTAACACCAAAAGTGTGGTGCTGACTGACAGTAGCATTGGATTGGCATGAAAGGGTGAGGTCACCACAGGGATGGGCCCATGCACGGATCCATGGCTGCAGATGAACAAGGACATTGTAGTCATCACCTCTGCCCACGGAGATCCAAGGCAGGCCCAGTGATGACTCTTCTCTTCTTCACTATGGTAGCAGAAATTATCCCCCACGGGTGTGCAGGCTTGGCTGGTATTATCAGTGCTCCAGGACGTATTGGTGCCCCCCTCTCTTCGGTGGTGCCAACCTGTGAGGCATTGCAGGATTGATTGCATTAGGAGGAAAAATTGATGATAAAAATCAGCTACATACTTTACATACAGGGGGAGGGGTGTCAAAGAATGTACATGACGTCCTGCTTCCCTGAACTCCAGTAGGAATAACCAACAGCCAGTAATCTCTGTATTCAGAAACTCCCAAGTCTGTCACTCCAGGTCTGTGCCCAGGAAAACCTATGCACCTACTTCCTCTAGGAGTCATGCTCATAACTCCTCCTCCTGGCTTCTCTGCCTCCTGTGACTCCTTGGGACAGTCCTCATTGAAAATGCCAAAGTCAGGGCAGGGTGCAAAAAGGAGGATATTCCCCAAACTGGTGGTTAACATTGAAGATCTCTGCAGCATCTCTACAGATGCTGCTACAAATTATCTCCGAGCAGGCCAGCTCCCTCCCGATTCTTTTGTTAATTTTATTTATTTCCTATAATTTATAGTCCATGAAACAGAGTGTGACCTTGCACCCCATAATGCTTTACAGAAAAATGCTTAAGAATGTAAATATGACATAACTGGAATAAGTTTTATGCTAGATATGCCATGTAACATATCTCTGCAAAGGTTATGTTCTACTGGATATATTCATCCTATTTGCATGCATGTGTGATTTTTGTATTCAAAGTTTTGAATATTGGCTGTTTACTTGTTTGATTTTAAGTAGACTCAGTGAAGCAGTTGCTCAGCTTCTTGAGAAAAGACTATTCTTAGTAAGCGCCCAATCAAGAAACACTTAAGCTGACAATAAGAAAAGGAGTACTTGTGGCACCTTAGAGACTAACAAATTTATTAGAGCATAAGCTTCCATGAACTACAAGTCACTTCATTGGATGCATTCAGTGGACTTCCGATGAAGTGAGCAGTAGCTCATGAAAGCTTATGCTCAAATAAATTTATTCATCTCTAAGGTGCCACAAGTACTCCTTTTCTTTTTGCAAATACAGACTAACACGGCTGCTACTCTGAAACCTGTCATTAAGCTGAAAATGAACTTTGAGAGACACCAATCCACATCTGAGCTTTCCTGGGAATGTGGTGTCGGCCTTTGTGACTCCAAAACTCCACCTTGGAGCTAGATTCTGCACAGCACAGGGGAAGGCGTTTCCAACCACAAGAGAGAGACGATATAAAAGGGGTGTGAGTGATTGCTGGACCCAGACTAGGAGGAAGTCTAGTCTGTAAAAGTGGCTTATTGGAACATCTCTGAGGGTGAGATTTACCTGCATTTAGTTTTTACTGTATTGTGCTTTGACTTGCGTGTTTTATTTTATTTTGTTTGGTAATTCACTATGTTCTGTCTGTTATTACCTGGAACCACTTAAATCCTACTTCTGTATTTAATAAAATCACTTTTTACTAATTAAGTAACCCAGAGTATGTATTAATAACGGGGGACAAACAGCTGTGCATATCTCTCTATCAGTGTTACAGAGGGCGAACAATTTCTGAGTTTACCCTCTATAAGCTTTATGCAGGGTAAAACGGATTTATTTGGGGTTTGGAGCCCACTGGGAGCGGGGTATCTGAGTGCCGGAGACAGGAGCACTTCTTTGCTGTTTTCAGTGAAGCCTGCATCTTGTGGGGGATGTGATTCAGACTTAGATCTGTGTTTGTAGCAGGCAAGTGTGTCTGGCCCAAACAAGGTAAGGTCCTGAAGTCCCAAGCTGGCAGGGAAAA